ATAATCGGATCTCAGTGTGAAAATGTCTAATATATATAATTCCGAATAGGACAGTGTTAGCTTCGGGCAAGAAGAAGACATTAACCGTCAAGGCCATCAAAATTGTAGAGGGATCAGGTAAGCATATCATCATAATTACATAATACAGTAGGCCATGGTGCGAAGATGAAGTTAAACCGTAAACACTTCCGGAATTTCATTTCCTGTCAGGGCAAGATTTTTATTACTATTCTATTGTCAACCGCATAAACAGAGCAGAAGTGAAGAAACTTGTTGGTTTAGATAATGTCCTACAGAAAATATCAAACGCGTTCGTGGAAAATTGGTTATTAAAACTAGGAATCACGATTTAAATTTGTGAAGTAATATGGGATGAGGAACACAAAACTGACTTTTGTGACCCGGAACCGCAATTAGGCGTTTGAGGACTCAAATTCGAGAGTTCACGATGCTGTGCTGCAGCCTCAATTGTGACCACGTCGAAGCGTGTGCCTCCTCCACCACTCTTGATGCCACCAACGGAAGAAGGCAAAGGCACGGATCCTGATTCCGATGTCATGGAGCTCGAAGACGGAGTGGCTGAAATCATAGTAAAACTCGTCGGATCGATAGCGATAGTAGCAGGGTTAAGAGTAGCTCGGCCGGTTAGGCAAATCTGAGGATCTTTATTGGCTAAACCAGATGACTGCTCCGAACCTGCCCCTGGTTTTTCCTGTCCGAGGTCCTCCCGTAATGTCATGGTTGAGGAAGCGGAAATATTCTCAACCAAGCAGTTGCCATCACTATTGCTCGTCACCGTAGTGGCCACCGGTGTAGCAGAACTAGAAGAGCCCCCAACAGCCATCTGGACGTTACCTGCAGGTCGCCGCTTGTTCGATTCACTAGTCAAGCTCGTAGTACCGGACTCAGCTCGAAGATTAAACTGATAACTACCGACCCCACCACTGCCATCAGAGCTGCTACTGCTGCGACTACTGGCTCCAGAAGTTAACTGGCGCTGTTGAAATA